GCATGAAAGAGTCGGCTGCATCTGGGTCATGTTGTATGGTGATGCACATGTAAGCACGGGAGCCTCACGTGGCCAGGCGAGGGGTCGCTGGGGCAGGCACACGAGCACTGAGAGCAGGAGATCCACGGAGCAGACCCACAGCACCCACTGCCGCCTCCCTGGGGCAGACGCCGCCTGGAAGGGCAGGTGGATCGCAGCGGCTGAGCTGCTCTCGAAGGAGCCTTCCAGGTGCCCGTGGGGAGGGGAATTCCCTCCACGTCAAGTTTGTGATTCTGACGCCTCCATTTTATCCCACTGGGCCCCAGGGTTTAAAGATTTTTATCCACCAAACAATGCTGCCTTTCCCAAGTCTCTTGTCAAGTACACATTTGTGGAGAAGGCCAGAGCTGGTCCTGTGGCCTCAGCCTGGCAGTGGATGGCGGCCCAGGAGGCTGTCCCCAGGCGGCCCAGGAGGCTGTCCCCACCCTGCATAGAGGGAAATAAAGTGGCATCTTTGGAGGAGGCTGGCTGAATGGGACAAGGGAATGAGCATTCATTGAGAATGATGCTTAAAAGTCGTGACTCCAAATTGGGACACACCCGGGTTCAAGTTCTGGCCCTTATGTGCTGTATAACCTTGCACAAGCGATCCCACGTCTCTGAGCCCCAGTTCTCTCTCCTGAAAAATGGAACGACATTACCTACTTCTTGGAGCTTCGTGAGGATTAAATGACATTGTGTGTAAGAACTCAAGGTATGCCAGCCGTCCCTGGCTGTTACTTACTAGCTCCCACGTGCTAAGCCCTGCGCTCAGTATGGTCCACGCACTACGAGGAAGGCATGGTTTTTATCCTGCATGCAGGTGTAACCTGCCCCACCAGCTGAGTCTGGCTGAGCTGGGACACGATCCTCTGTTGGGCTCCAAAGCCTGCCTTCCTTCCTTCCATCTTTCCCCTTTCCAAAGAGCACGGGGACTCTGCAGATGTGTGGAGTTGAAGTCAGCCAAGAGCCGAAAGGTGAGGGCGTCAGCATGGAGACACCCTAGGGTGCAGGGCATTGTCCCGGGTCCCTGATCTAACAGGAGTAACCTACTGAGGCAGAGTTAGGTATGGTCATTAAGAGCTGACAGCCACCTCTGCACCAGGTGCCGTGGGGAGCCCTTTGCACTGCACTTCTTGTTTAACTCACAACCTGCCACAGTGTGGGCCATAAATGCCCATTTTTACAGATGAAGAAACTGAGGCTCCAAGAAGTTAAGTCACTTGCCCAAAGACATTAAGTCAGTAAGGTGAAGTGCTGGGATTGGGACCCAAGTGTGTCTGGCATCAGAGCTATACTCAGAACCACCGTGAGTAGATTGCAGGTCAAGTGTTGCTTCTAAGCTCAGGGTTGGAGGAGGGTACGGCCTGCAAATGGTGCCCTGCAGCTCTGCTCTGCAGAACGAGTCTGGGCTTGGTCATGATGGAAGAGATGAAGTCCCCAGGTCAAGGCTGCTGGTCAAGATGTTTAGCAATCGGTAGGCATTGGCAGGACCAACCAAAAGCGCTGCTGGCTCAATAGCAGGACAGCCGTCCCCGTGGGTCCCCACTGAATCTCGGCCTGTCCACTGCCTGCCGCGAGGACGGGGCTTGGAACAAGGGAAGGGACAGGTCGTCCTGGGGCCTCCCATCCTGTGCAGCTCGAGGCTTTCAGCCTCAAGAAGACCTGGAGGGAAGAGCAAACACGTGGGGCATCAGCAGGGCCACGTGGGACCATCCTGTCCCTGCAGAGGTGCAGCAGACAGAGGAGAGGGACCACGGAAGTCAGGAGCCCGGCTGCTGGTTTCCACCTGGCACTGCCATTATCGGGGTGAGGAGGGCACGGCTGATCTAAAGCCTGCAGAGCCCGCAGCAGCCCAGCGCCAGCTTCCTGTACGTGCTGCTTCATCAGCTCCCTGTGTTAAGGGGGTTTTATTTGCTCCAAACTGTGTACTGCCCATGCTGTGTCCCTGGAGGGCACCGCCCCGATTCTGCTACCCTGGGGTTCATGGGAACAGGGGCTGACGACATAGTGGTACATATTGTGGTGGGGACAGTGGTGGAGGTTGGCAGAAGCCATGGGAGCACCAGGGAAGGCCCTGGGCTTGGCTTGATGAGGCAGGAGGTGGGAATCAGGGAAGGCTTCTTGGAGGAGGTGATGCCTGTGGATGAATCTTAAAGGCTGAGTAGGAATTAAGTGGGAAGGGAGCAGGGGGAAAGGCAGTCCGAACAGAAGGGGTTGGCATGAGCAGTGAGCCTCAAGGGTACCTCTGGGGCACTCTCCTTTGATGTTGGTGATGGGGAGTCTTGGAGGACCCAGAGTCCACGCTGGAGGCAGGCTGGTCTCCTGTAGAGAGGTTGGGCCTTCAGCAAGGGAGTGATGTGGTTGGACGTGCTTTGTGGAAAGGTCCTTCTGGAAGCCGGCCAGCTCGGAGTTGGAAGGGGCTGGGGTGGGGGCCAGTCCCAGTCCAGAGGCCGTGGCCATGTCCTGGTGGGAGAGGAGGAGCAGGGCTGGAGCGGAAGGGGCTCCAGGGAGCCCCATAACAGAGGATGGTGTCATCGGATTCTGCCTCCGCACACAGGCGGCATTTCATGCATTCGGCCACGGCTCTCGGACGTGCAGACAAGTCCTCCCCCGCCACGCTCACACTCCAGCCCTGCCCTTCCAGGCTGGGCTGCCTGGCTTCACCCGATATGACCTCAGACCAGTCACCTAGCTGCTGTCTGCCTCAGTTAACACCCTGGAAAATAAGGATGATAAGAGTACTTATGTCATAGGTTATTGTAAAATAGTAAATGCGAAGTGCTGAGGACAGGGCCTGGCACATAGTAAACGCTCAATAAATAGTATTCTTCCTAGGGGCGGAGACTTGGGTCGATGGCCCAGGGAAACCCTGCGTTCCCCTTCTCCCCCACCCAGTTTAAGAGGATCCCTTGGGGCGCTGTTGGAAGGACAGAGGCTCGGAGCCTGGAGCCCCTGGTTCAGGTTCACCCCATGGTTTTCTCTTTGAACGGCCTCAGGTTCATCACCGGGGGACTTGGTGCCTCGGTTTCCCCTCCCAATAAAATAAGAAGGAGATTGTCCCAGTGGGCTCTGAGTGTCCTCCCCTCCCAGCTTTGAAGCTCGGTGGCCCTCCCTGTGCGTCCCCTGCCCAGCTCTGTCTTTTTTCAAGATGCCTTACGCACCCACAGAGCAGCCGGGAGGAAAGCCCTCCTGCCCAGGGCCAGCACCCAGATCAAAAGCCGCCGTGCCCGGCAGACCTTCCTCGTGGGCTCCGCGCCTGTGTGGTGCACGCCCCGATGCCAGGAGTCGTTCCTGTGCCTGCTCCCACCAGCGGGCTTTGTGCTTTTCTCTCCATGGATCCAAATGCACTTTCACAACATTCTAGCTCAATCCAAAGTGCAGCCTGGGGGTGGGAGGGGTGGAACAGGCCAGGGGTGGGAGCTCTGTTCTTTATGGTATGAGGACGCGGCCTGCTCGCTGAGGAGGGTGTTGGATTACGGTTTGGGGCAGGGAGGGCCCCAATTCCCCCCGGGCCCACCGTGTGCCAGGCACGGCACGTGGGCTTTGGCTCTGCCTCCTACAAGCTGTGTGGCCCTGGACAAATCCCTTAACCCCTCTGACACGTCGCACACCATGCTGGGCTGATGGAAGGCTTGGAGGCAATCAGAGTACACACCTCATTGGTCATTGCGAGAATTAAATGAGATAGTATGTGCAAAGCACCTGGCACAGGGCCTGGCTGCCCACATGTGGCTACTGTTATGATTATTTATTTTATTTTATTTTCAATTGACAAATAATAATTGTGTATCTTTATGGTGTACAAGGTGATGTTTTGATATACATTTTACTATTGTTAATATTAATAGTAATAAGCCTTACCACAACTCTGAGGAAGACTTACCAACCTCATGTTGTAGATGAAGAAAACTGCGTCCAGCCACGTGCGGGGGGAGGAAGTGGAAACTGTAGAAAGTGAGCAGACACCATCTCCCCTGCGTCATCCACGCCCCAACACGTGCTCCCAGAACCCTTTGCGCCAAGCCCTGTCACTGAGGCTCAAACCACTTATGGGGCACCCGAAGAGGGCTCAGGTCTGGCTTGAGTTCTGGCCCCGCGAGAACTCACACCTTACAAGCCGGGGGACATTAGACATGATGTTTTTCATCCTGAGCCTCAGTTTCCTCACCCGTTGCGTGGATCTCTAATCCCTGCTGCCATGGGTGTAGTTTTACATGGGGAGATGGGGACAGGGATGGTTCCCCAGGGAGGTGGCAGGATGGAGGCAGTCAGGGCCTGGGGAGGTTGGCCCCAGGAGCAGGGGGACCCCCAGGTAGGTTATTTTCCCTGCAATTTCCCTGCAATTTCACCTTATTTTCCCTGCAATGGCCCGTCCTCACCGCCACTTAGGAACAGCCCCAGTCTGTCCTGTGGCGGGAGGGCATGTGGGGTGCTGGGAAGCTTGTGAGGCCTGGGTCCTGGTCGCAGCTCCAGCACCTTGGCAGGTCCCTCCAGGCTCTGAGCCTTAGTTTTCTCCTCCACCGAATGGGAGGCTCACACCTGCCGTAGAGTAATGACATGAAACAGCACCTCTGGGCACTCACTGCATGCCAGGCGTGTGCTAAGCATGTTATTGAGTTATGTCAGTTAATCTACTCAGCACTGCTAGGAGGAAGGTTGTTTTTAATCTCCATTTTAAAGTTGGGGAGAGCAAGACTCAGAGAGGTGGAGTAATTTGCCCAAGGTCACACAGCGAATGAATGGTAGAGTCAGGGCTCAGACCCAGGCATGCCGGCTGCAGCGTTCTCAGTCCTAGCTCCAGCCCGACACGGCAAATCTCTGTCCCCATGAGACGACTAGTATCTGCCACCCTCTTCCTCCGCCAGCTGCAAGGGTGGGGCTGGTCACTGGGCCCCGCATGGGGAGGGGCCGAGGTTTCCTGGGATGGGGCTCCCTGACGGGAGGACTGACTGGGCCTCGTGCTTTGCAGGCGGAGCACCATGGAAGGCGACTGTCTGAGCTGCATGAAGTACCTGATGTTCGTTTTCAATTTCTTCATATTTGTAAGTGTTCCCGGGTCTGCCGGGGTCGGGGGCAGAGCTGGCTGCTGCCCTGAGACAGTCGCATGAGCCGAGTCCTAGGCAGAGACAGGGGCCAGGGCTAGAGGCAGGTGGACCTGCCAGCCGGGCGCTCATGGAGGGGGGGCCCCAGCAGTGCCTGCCCCACCCCGAAGAGCCCACCATCGGGGGAGACGCATTTTACACGGCCCCGCAGTGGCTCGGCCCCTCTGGCCAGGGTAGGGGGAAGCTCAGTCCGAGCCAGGCTGGGGATCTGAGCCCTGGTGGGGAGTCAGGGGGAAGGAGTGAGGGTGATCAGAGGGTGACAAGAGGGAGCCCTCCCCAGCCTTACACCCCACCCCGGAGCAGACGCCAGACGCCAGAGGTGGCGGGGCTGGGCCAGTGTGGCCCCCTGGTGTAACTAGAAACCCCTGTGGGACTGGAAGACCTGCATCCAAATCCCAGCTCTCAGTCTCACCAGCTGTGTGATTTGAAACACATTTCACCTCTCTGACCCTCGGTATCTTCATCTGTTAATGACCTACCTCAACAGGTTTTTTTAGAAAATTAAGCAAGATTAGTTTACAAAGTGCCTGGAATGCGGTCGGCAATGATAGCTTAGCTCCTTTTGTCCATCCTACCAATCCTGGCGGTGAAGGAACACACCCAGGGCAGCCCCTGCCGGCAGCCCACCGAAGGCTGTGCTCAGGCGGGGGCCTCTCCAGGAGCACAGCCACAGCCCCAGCTCCCTGGGCCCCGCAGGCCTCGCCAGCCCAGCCTCGACCTTTGATCTCAGTGCAGCCAAGGCCTGGATTAATGAACCTCCACTCGTGTCCACTTCAGCAGCTCCCTCAGATTCCCTTCCCTGCCTCCTAATCCCAAAGAGCCCAGAGCCCTGCAGACTTGAATTCTAGACCCAAGGCAACCACTTTCTGAGCCTGGTGACCTCTGGCAAGCTCATTCCTCCCCTAGCCTCAGCGTCCCCACCCAAAATGGGGCCGGGCCCTCCTCGAAGCAGAGCTTAGCATGCAGTTGGTGACCCCCAGAGCTCCCAGCAGCATCGAGGAGGAGCAGCTGTCCCCGTGGGAGACTGGCAGAGAGACACTGCACAGCAGATGGCAGAAGTGGAGACCCTGTCCTTGGCCAGTCCTGCCGGGTCTTCCCTCCTCTCTCCCCTGCTGGGCCCCACGGGCCTCTCTGCCTCCCCCCATCCCCAGCCCCAATGGCACCTACGAATGTCCTTTGCCCAAAGCCCCCCTCAGCCTGCAGACCTGCTCAGCCAAGCCAAGGCTCAGCAGTGTCCCCATCGCCCCGGCCGGCAGTCCTCCCTCCACACAGGGATTGCCGACACGTCACAGCGCTCAGATGCGTGGTGCCAAACTCGGGTTCTCCCCACGACAGGTCTGCTTCCAACACTTGTCTGCACCCGAGAAGAGTGGAGCAGATATTTATTGCAACCTGCTAAACACCCTCACATTCAGTCTGTCCTTTCTTCCTTGGGGTTGCCTTGGGAGATGGGAATTAGAGTCTCCTTTTAACTAGGAGGAAGCTAAAAGGGTCAGAGAGGTGAAGCTACTTTTCCAAGGTCACACAGCTATTAAGTGGCACAGCCCTTTTTCTGGGCCAAGCTGCCCCTCTCCAAAGATAAGTGAGGCAAGGAGAGAGCTGGGCCATCCTGGCGAAGACATGAACCCGAAGCCTTTGAGCGACGGGTTTGAGTGGGGAGCCCACTCTCAGGACGGAAGCTCACTGAGAGGTCCCGTTGAGGACGAGGACAATGACTTTTGTCTGTGTTTTCCTGCACTGTAGCATGGATGGTGCAGGCACTCAGGGCGTGATCATGGGCCTTTGTCGGCTGTCCTTGGGGCTGGAGTCAGGGAGGCCGGGATATATATAGCCCTGGCTCTGCCGTGCACTTGCTGTGCGACCTTCAGCAAGTCGTCGACCCTCTCTGGGCCTCTGGTTCCAAGAGGGTTGGACTAGATGACCTAATCTTGCAGCTCTGGCATTTTAAGAGCATGTAAAAGTGACACATAAACTCTACATGACATAGTCGTCAGGTGGGGCCTGGGCCAGAAATTGGGTTTAGAGGACTCATGCTGTACTTCAGGTCGAGGTGACTAGAAGAGTTCAAGGCAATTCAAGGCGCAGCTGGGCTCACTGGCTCACGCCGCATATGGAAGTTTGCCCAGCTCACCAAGCAAGCGCTCAGCGCCTCCGCCCCTGGGGCCCCGCTCGGGGGACGGTGGGTGTAGGGAGTGTCTAACCTTCCGTTTGCCTGTCTCTCCTCCTGCTCCTCGGCTGGCCTGGCGGGAGCAGCTGGGCGGGGCATGCCTGCTGGGCGTTGGCATCTGGGTCATGGTGGACCCCACCGGCTTCCGGGAGATCGTGGCCGCCAACCCGCTGCTCCTCACGGGCGCCTACATCCTCCTGGCCATGGGCGGCCTGCTTTTCCTGCTCGGCTTCCTGGGCTGCTGCGGGGCTGTCCGCGAGAACAAGTGTCTGCTGCTGTTCGTGAGTACCGCGGCCCCACCCCACCCCTGGGTGCTCTGGGGCAGGGGGCTGGGGGCAGGAGCTGCTAGCTGGCTTCCATTCAGACCGGTCCTCCCCAGACTGGAGATTGCCAATGCCAGGAGGCACCATCGAGGTCACTGGGTCCCCCACTCACTGCCGTCAGGGATCCTGAAGCCCCACAGGGAGCTGGTGCAGAGGGGATGACACAGATGTTGGGCCGGGGCCCCTGCACCTCCACCGGCTGCCTCTGCTCACCGTGGCACCGTGCCATGGGGCGCTGGTTTCTTGCCAAGGTGGTCCCTGCTCCTTCCCGCTAGCGTTTGCTACTTCCCCCACGTCAAGCAAAGGCCCTTGAATCCATGCACACCTGGGCTGTGTCCACGCTCCGGGGAACTCAGAGTGAGGTTTCAGCCAAACAGACTGTCCTCCAGGAGTGGGACAGTCCCCAGCCGCCAGAGCCTGAAGTTTGGCAAGCTGCCCCAGGTGGAGGGGCCTTGGCCTCCAGGTCCGAACAGCCAGCCTTCTCCAAGGCTTGGTCAGCTATCCACACTGGCTTAACCATGGTGTTTCCCCGTGCTTGCATTTAAAAACTCAAACATATAACTGCTTAGTAAAATAGCCACGACAGCTGTTGGATGAATTGTTCATTTGGATATCCAGTTCTAAAACAGAGACGATTTGATCTCTGACGGTTTCTTATTCAGTCCCTGAACTCCCATCACAGGACACGCAGTCGATAAGGTGCTGAAGGTGTGGCAGGGCCAGGTGTGGACGGGCACACCTTCCCTCCCTCGTGGACAGGCGCACGGGGGGCAGCTGAGCCACGAGGACGAGCTGCGCTGCAGCAGGCCTGGGTTGGCGCGTGCTCCCTGCCGTCCGACGAGGGGCTCCAGGCCGGTTTCTGTACCGCCCGGGCTTTAGTGCCTTCGCCTGTCGATCGGAGCCAAACAAGACAGGCTCTAGTTCTCCAGTCTTCTGCCCTCCCATGCACTGTGGCCCTTTGGGCTTTTGCAAACTTTCCTGTCTTTGGTGGATGGGTCTTCTCTCCTCTAAGAGGCCCTGCGGGCCCCCAGGACTCAGAGAACTTCTGGGCTTAACCCAGTCTTCCTATAGGGTCAGTCAAAATCAGCTCTGCTTAGACAAGTACGCGTGTGGCTGGGCCAGCTTGCAGGCGCCCCCGTGGGTGGGTGGGGGTTAAGGGCAGACCTTTGGGCTGGTCAGGCGGCGGGCTTACTTGTGAGGCTGCTGGCGGGTCAGCCCTGTGGATGAGCCGGCACCCAGCAGCGCCAGGGACAGGGACCTGGCACCCGCCTCCACCCCGGATGAGAGCACAACGCACGGCCCCCGTTGGAGTCACGGGGAGATGCCCCGCATCCAGACAGGAAGTGAGGGCAGCCGAGAAACGAGTGACAAGGAGCCTGGGGTCCATCGGCCCTTCAGCAGCACAAACACCGCGGACTTTTCACTCGGAGAGAAACAAAGGAAAACTGTGAGCGCCCCCTGGTAGAACGCCGGCTGCAGTGTCAGCTGTGCCTGGAAAAGTCGTGCCTGGGGATGTGGGTCCCAGGACACTCCAGCCTCCCTCTCCCGTCCTCGCCTGGGCCCCCAGGGGCTCATCCATTGTTAATGGGCTCGGCTCTGAGCTCGGCTCTGAAGCCAAGACAGGAAGCCGGGCTGGTGCTCTTGGCCAGGCCTCGCCTCTCCAGTCTCCTCCAGCTAAGTGGCTCCCCGCGCACCTGCCAGCTACGCGCGGACAGCCTCTCTCCTGTGCTTTTGGAGCACAAGACCGAGCCCCAGGGACAGAAGATTTGCTCAGAGTCCTCCCTGAGCGAGCTCCGTCCTGGCTGCAAGGCCGGTCTTTTCCACGGAGCCCGACTGAGGCCCTCCCCATCCCGTCCCCTCCCTTGTCCCTTCGTCTCTCTCTGCTCTGCCTGTCTGTGTGTAGCACCCACTCTTCTCTCTCACTGCCTCTGTCTCCCTGCCTCTCCACCTCCGTCTTTCTCCTGATCTCTTCTTCCTATTCCTGCACGGTTTCCTGTCCCTCTCCTGAACTCCCCCTGCCCCTCTCCTGAACTCCCCCTGCCCCTCTCCTGAACTCTCCTTGCCCCTCTGTCAACTCCCCCTGCCTGCCCTCCCCTCTTCTGCTGTACACCTCCCCTCTCTTCGAGGCCCAGCACACACAAGCCTGAGGTCACAGTGTGGCTCAGAGGCAGGGACACTTGCAGCCAGTTCTCCTGTCTCTCAGACCAAGGCTGGTGCAGGGGCTCCTAACCTGGAACGGACTCAGAGAATCCAAATTGCACATAGAATTATGGGCAAAATGTTACGTCAGTCTGTGGTGTGAGTGTGCACGTATGTTGCACATGTGTTGGTGTGTGTATGTTGTATTGCATTGTGCATGCATTGTGTACACTGCATTGTGTGCATACACACCTAAGTTGCATGTCCATGGGTGCATTTATGTATACACGTGAACCTGTTATACATGTATGTGCACATGTGTGTTATATGAGCGTGCATGTGTGTGTTGCATACATGGGGTTGTGGAGGGGATTGTGTGACTATTTTTTGGGAAAGGCACCACAGCTCCTGACAGCTTTTCAGAAAGGTTCACGACCTAAGAAATAGGAAGAGCCATTTCTCTCTTCTAACCTGAACCTGGTGGCCGTGTGGTGGTGCCAGCGGAAGCAGGCACAGTCTCACCCTGGCAGCCTCTGGGATCCTTCTAGAAGCCTTTGACCACCTCCCTAGCCTACCAGAGGAGAAAGAAGGCTTGTCTTGAGAGGGGCCAGGAGAGAGCCACTGTAGCCACCCCGGGAAGCCCATGGAGAAAGGAGCCTGGAGACGGGGCTGTCGGGGTGTCCCCTTCCCTCTGCTCCGAGGCTGCAGTCCCACAGGGCCCAGGGACAATTACTCTGATGACCAAATCACCTGGCGACCGATTTATCTAAAGCTCCATTTCCCAAACACTCCTGTTGATCCACATTACGGCATTCGCGTACAACAGACGGTTCCAGCCTGTTCCCGTAGATTTGTGGGGCAGCCCTTTCCCCAGTTGCTTGCCTTTGGGCATCTCAAGGAGTTTTTCTTTTTGGCCAACTGATTTGAAGATTGTGATTTTTAAAAAAAATATTTTATAGCACAGCCATGCTAAATTGGAAAAGAGGAGAGTAAACGAGAGATAAGTGTATTCAAAAGAGATAAATGAGCTGAATTGCACATGCAGTATGTACATTTTGTAAATATTTATTAGACGTGAGAGCGGGAAGCAGACGTTGCCCACAAGCAGATGGCTTAGAAAAGCCTGGAAATGCTCACGAGCAGGCAAGACAGCAGTTTCTGCCCTTCGCCGATTTCTCCCTCCCGAGCGGGGTGCTGTCAGTGAGAGGTCTGGGCATGGCCGGCCGCTGTGTCTCAGGCAAGTGATGCGAACCCTGGGAGAAGTCCCGGCCGGGGGAGCCCCGGGAGCGCGGAGCAACCCAGTGGCCGGGCCCAGGGACGCCCCCAGACAGCCGCGGTGAGCGAGAGGAGGGCACGTTGGCGGAAGTGGCATCGTTACCCGTGTCACCACCACGGCCCTGCACTCACGTGCTTCACTCCCCCATACACTCGGTCGCACCCCGGTCCCTGTGCTTGGGGAGCCCACTGTGCCCAGTCCGTGAGTTACCAGGTTCATCATTTCATTTTATCTCCTGATGCTTCAGCGCAACATAAACTCCGTGAAGAGGGGGACTGCGCCTGCCTTGTACATACGTGTTTGCCAGTACCTAGCACAGTGCCGGCGCAGCGGCACTGATAAACAGCCCGGAAGGAAGGAGCAGAGAGAGGGTAGCAGAGGTGTGGGTAAGAGTGTGGGCTCTGGAGTCAGAAAAGCTTGGGTTCCACCCTCCCTGCCACCTTCTTGCTGTGTGACCTAAGGCCAGTTACTTAACCCCTCTGAACCTCATTCCTCAATCATAAATGAGGATAATAATACCTTCTTCCCAGCCATAGTGTTGTGTTCATGATCCCAGGTTTTTCTTGGCCCTGTCCTGGCTCGCATAAGCATTGATACACAGAAAACTGGAAGAATTGGTGTGGAACCACAAGGGACTTTGCAGGCCATCAGAAAGTCGTGAGGCCTAGAGGTGCTCACAGCTTCCAGGTAACGTGGTGCTAAGAGGCTGTGTTCTGGCAGCAGCGTTCCCGTGGTTAAGCCCCAGGTGTGCCCCCGGCCAGCTGTGCCAGCCGGGCTCGGGTACTGGTCCTCCCAGAGTTACCGTCCCCATCGGTGACACTAGGGCTGCTGAGAGGAGGGATGAAATGACCCCGCATGGTCCACGCGTCTATGCCATCTGTGCTTGGTAGCTGGCAGCTAGTGCTGGTGCTTGGTAGCTGGCAGCTAGTGCTGGTACTTGGTAGCTGGCAGCTAGTGCTGCTCTTCCAGAGGACACCCGTGCTGCTCTGTCTTCAGGGAGGCCGCACCTCGCGCCGGCGCCCAGCAACCACCGAGCAGCTCTCACGTCGCGCCCGCCTGGCGAGAGGCACTCCACCTGCACCCTCTCGCTGCAGCCTCGCTAAGTCACCCGGGGTCGCGCACACACACCGCAGAGTGGCGGGCACAGAGCGCATGAAGCTTGCTCGGCCTCGTCCATAATTTATACCCGTCGGAGCCAAGGCTGCGGCCGGAAACTGTGCCCGGGGCTGCTCCTCGCCACCTGCGGGCCTGCCAGCGGCTGCGGCGGGCAGAGGGCAGGGGTGCAGGCGGTGCGCAGCGGAACCCGGTGACCATCCATCATCAGCCAGATGGAGGTGCCAGGACTCCCGCCAGGGGCCCCCATCGCCGTCACAGGAGGAGAGAGCGCGAGGTGGAGACACATCACCCCGAGGCAGCCCAGCCCGGGAGCCGGCCAGCCTCGCGGAAGTGAGGACTGTGAGGGTTTCAACGGGGCAGCTGGCCCTGGGCACGGGAGCCCCTCGGCCACCCTCTGGTTGGGGACTCTGCTCCCCCGACCTCAGCCCAGGGTCACTTGCCCTTCAGAAAGAGCGGAGCGTCTGGCCCGGGCAGGCGCCCTCATCCGGGCGTGCCAGGCAGGCCACACCGCGGACCAGCAGGCTGCCCGCTGACCTTGGGGACGGGCCTAGGCTCGGAGGCGTTGCCGACAGGCAGTCCCTGGCCGCACTGTCCTGCTCTCGGCGCTCTGAACGGGAGGACAGGATCTGCTCTGAACCCTTCCAGCTTCACTCGTTCAGACCAGCCATTTCCCTTTTCCGGCTTCAGTTTCCTCCACTGCTGAAAAGGGGGAACGGAACAGAACCGGGACCGGGGGCAGCAGCGGGTGCCGGTGCCCGGCGTCCCCCGCGGACCAGAGCCTGTGCTGGAGCCTGGTGAGACCCTCGGGGAGTCTCACGGCCCGCGGAGCATCCCAGGGACGGGGCCGGGCTTGATGTCACGGCGGGGGCCAGGCCAGCACGCCGGCTTAGGGACGAGGAGTGAACAGCGCCACACCCGGGGCCGGCTGCCCTGTTCACACGGGGGGTTGGACATTTAAAAAAGTGCAACCCATTTGACAGGCCTCAGGGATGTTTTGTGCCGTGTCCTGGTGGACGTTCTCCAAATCCGTCCTGGGCTCCCCTAAAGTGGCCACGGCCCCGCAGTCGGGAGACACCCGGGAGCTCCACGGGACAGCCACGGCGGAGCTGAAAAGTCGGGGAGAGAGCATGACCGGCTGTCCCCGGGGTGGGGATGAAGTGACAGAAAGCTTCCTGTGACCTAGGGGCACACACATGCCAGGAGAGAGACCCCGAGGGCATCATCAGCACCCACAGGGCGTCTGTGAAGAAGCCAGCGCCGAGTGTCAGCGGGAGCCGGGCAGTGGGGCACAGAGGAGCCTGCACGTGGCTGGCGTCCCCTGCCTTCCACGCTGCGGCGGCCGCAGCACCGAGCTCTGCCGGGCCTCGTCTGCAGCGTGGGAAACGCTTTCACATCTGTTATGCCATCATTCCCCACGAGGAACCCCAGGAAGCGGGTGGTAGCACCCCCACTTTACTGATGAGGAAACCGAGGCGTGAGGGGTTTGAGTGATTGTCGCACATCACGCCAGGCCAGGAGCCCCCCGAGGTGTCCCGACACGAAGCCCAAGCCCAGCACCCTTTGCCTCCTTGCAGCCTGGCACATCCGGCGAGGGCTGGTGGGCGGGTCCGAGGACGGTGACCCCAGGGAGCAGATCGGGGCGGCCGCCAGGTGTTTAAGAGCCAGTCTGTGTGCATGCGCTAGGGATTGCGTCCTCTGCTGGTGGTTTCCGGGTGAGGTGACGACGGACTTTGTAAATGCCAAGGGCACCAGCAATGCTGAGTAATGAAGGCAAAGCCACTTCCACTTCTGCCAACAGCTCTAGCCCACAAGAGCGTCCATGACAGCCGAGGCCTGAGACATAGCAGGTGGCAAGGTCTTCATGGAGGGCCCCTCACTCACGGGGTCTTTCATCAGCTAATGGTCACGCATCGACACCGTGCTGTGGGCATGGGGGAGGCAGCGAGCCCCATTGCAGCTGCGAGTCCCCGAGTGAGCACTGTGCGGGGCGTGGGGGGCGGGTGGCTCAGTCGGGCCTGTCGTGTGGGGAGCCCAGGGGAGCCAGGGCTTCCTCCCGCCTGGGGAGGGCTGGGCTTCGCCCCGTCCAGTAAAACAAAGAGCTGGTGGGCCGGGAGGGAAGGCGCCTTCCTGGCAGAGGTAGCACGGCCTGCAAGGGCCCCAAACCAGAGGCATCCGGGTTAATTTGGGGAACATCAGGGAGTTCAGTGAGTGGAGCGGAGGGGCTGTGTCAGACAGCAGACTCCTGGCCCTGGGTTTTAGGGTTTTGGCAGTCGCACCACCTTCTCTCCTGCTGAAGATCAGCGTGGCCTCAGCACTTCCCGTGGGAGCCGGAGGCAGCAGGGCAGAGAGAGGAGGTGGCCCTGGGCTGGTGAGGCGGGGAAAGCCAGCTGGGGACCCCAAGGAGCTACAGATTCCAAGGCTTATACAGGCCACACGGAAGGAGAGCCGCCCGGAGGAGCCCAGAGGGGTTTCATCAGTGATCTCCTTCAAGGGCTGCTGCGTAGGGTGGTCCAGGCTGCACACTCTCTAAGGGCTGCCATTTGCATGGAAGGTATATTTATTTGTTTGCTTTTTTCATGTTTTTATTACAACCTGTTGACTCCGAGGATGGATCGTTCATATGTGTGTTATGAAAAATGCCTGGCTCATGGCAGCAGAGTGTACAAAATCAGTGTACTAGATACCAGGTCAGTTATGTGACAGATGGAAGCCAGTGGCTGCCCTGTCCCCTTCCTGCCCGCCCGCGGGGCTCACAAGCCGTCCCCTCTCTCTGCAGTTCTTCCTGTTCATCCTGATCATCTTCCTGGCGGAGCTCTCAGCGGCCATCCTGGCCTTCATCTTCAGGGAAAATGTAAGTGCTGGGCCCGGCTCCCCCACCCCTGCTGCAAGGGTCTCACGGGGTGGGCTGCCTCATCCCAGCATTTCCAGCCCAAATCCTGACTCACCAGCCCAGCCAGGCCCAGCAGCCCAGAGAGAGACCCCAGGGAGCCTCTTCCTGCAAGGGCTTTTCCAGAAGGTCACAGAGTCAGGAGGCCCTTAAAGGGTCTCTGCTCTCAAAGCATCTGGTGCAACCCCCTATCTGATTCTGGAACCTTCCCTTCCACACCTTGCCCAGCGGCAGCCCAGTGATAGTCGTTGGACAGTCAGGATGGTCAGAGAGGCTGTCACCCAGCCCTGGAACGTGTGCCGTGTAGGAAGGAGCGCGGCAGGGTGCTCCCAGACAAGGCCCTGGCTGGTGTCCTCTTTGGGCAACTTGGCCCCACAGGCCACCTTGTTCCAGAGACTTCAGCCACCTGGGGCACCATCTCCCACCCCTGAATTGAAGTTAGAGCTGGCACCATGGCCAAAGGGGGCCTGGGAATGAACAGGAGGGGGAGGGGCGCAGTGGCAGGGGACACACTGGCCTTGGGGCCCAGGGAGGCAAGTAGTCGGCACAGAGAGGAAGAGGGGGCAGCAGCAGCGTGTGGGCAGAGGGCAGAGGGTGGCATCCAGGGGGTCTCCCTCTGCTGGGCCCGCCCAGGGCCCCACCCTTCCACTGCAGCGGGAGGAGGGTGTTCAGGCCTCAGGAGAGTATTTTGAGAGTAGGACCGGCTTGCAAGGACATCTCTGGCTACTGGGTATACAGAGTCCCTGCCCCACACTGTAGCTTCTTCACAGCCTGGGACCTGGGGCCTCTGCTTGGCCCTGTCTGGGGAACGGCTGGGGAACGGCTGGGGGAAGGGCACACACCCCCCACTGAGATAAGCCCTCCCTCTGGGTAGAGCTGCGGGCTGAGCATGGTCTCAGCTGCCCTGGCCTTGGGTTTGCTGAGGGGTGTGCGTGTCACGTTGGGGGTAAGGGGCCTGCCCCAAGCTAGCCTAGGAGGCCTGGCACCAGGACGAGGAGGCCCTAGCTCTCACTCCCCCACCCCTCAAGCAGAGGGAAGGAGAGGTGAGCGAGGGGCCACACTGCCTGGTCTCAGCCACCCTCTCTCTCTGCCCCCCCAGCTCACTCGAGAATTCTTCACCAAGGAGCTCACCAAGCACTACCAGGGCAATAACGACACGGACGTCTTCTCTGCCACCTGGAACTCGGTCATGATCACAGTGAGTGACCACCCCTCGCCCCTGGCATGCTGTGAGCATTCAAAACCGTGGTGCCGGTGTTCAAGCGCCAGACACGAATAACCAGTCAGGGCGCTCGGCCCCGGCCCCGGCGCCGGAAGCAGCCTCCACGCGGCATTGCAGGCCGCTGGCCACAGTCCCAGCTCGGGGCGAAGCCTGTTCGCTGCCCCTGTCCTGAGCCCTCAAGCAAAAGTCATTGTCACTGATGGTAATAACCACGGCAAGTGTCCAGTGAGTGCTTACTGAGTACTTACTAAGTAGCAGTTGGTTCACCACGCCCGTTTAACAGATGAGGACACTGCAGGCCCAGAGAAACCAAGCGACTCCCGTGGTCACCTGGGAGGCAGGTGGAGCCAGCCCACGCTGGGTCTCTGTCCCAGCTCTGTCGCAGAGGCTGGCCTCCGTCCCCCGTGTCCAGCCCTGCCCACAGACCCTTCTCTCTGCCCTCCTCCTAGTTTGGCTGCTGCGGGGTCAACGGGCCCGAGGACTTTAGGTTCGCGCCAGTCTTTCGACTCCTGACGCAGGACAGTGGCGAGGTGCCGGAGGCCTGCTGCCGGCGCGAGCCGCAGAGCCGGGACGGGGTCCTGCTGAGCAGGGAGGAGTGCCTGCTGGGAAGGAGCCTGTTCCTCAACAAGCAGGTACCGCCAGGCAGGGGCCGCTCCACTGGGACGTGGGTGGCCAGAGCTGGGTGGGAGTTGACACCGACCCGGAGGGTCCGCAGCCACTCCAGGAATCCCAGGGAGGTGATGGCCATGCATGGGATTTCTGCCCCTGGGCAGGGACTGATGGAGGCTCCATCCAGGCCCCTGCGATCCCTCCAAAGTGGGGAAGGATGAGGGTGGCAGATGGTCCATGCTGGAGTGGGATTCTGGCTGGGGTTAAGGGGCAAGTAGGAGTTTTCCAGTGTTTCCTGAGCTTGTGACAGTGCAGGTCTGGGGAGGAGGGACAGAAGCAGAATTGCGCAGTGGGCACTCACTTTTGGAGGAAGCTCACATTTGCCATGAAGGGCATCCTCTGACCCTAAGGGAGCAGGTCTCCCCGACCTTACCCTCCAAGATCAGAGAAGTTCCTAGACGCTCTGCTCCTCTTGTAGCCTGTGTGCATCACTTCAGCCTAGGAAGAAAAGTGTCCCTTCCTGCATGCGCCACCTCTAGGGGAAAGAAGGTCCCGGCTTGGCCCCCAGCCCTGAGACACAGCGCCCTTGCACTCGACCCGCCTCCCTCCCACTGACCAGCCCCACCCTTTCAGGAGTGGGGGAGGGGTGGAACAGCCTGACCTGAGCCCACACCCCAGGCCCCCCCCACTTGATTGGGCCTTTAACGAGGATCTCAGGGGAGAGTTCCAGATGCAAGAGACACAGCAGGGGATAGGAGACAGGGCCCCTGCTCCTGCAGAGCTCACAGTCGAGTTAGAGGAAGGAGATGATGAACAAGCACAAATAAAAAGTAATAATTTCACATGGCAATGATTGCTATGAAGAAAATAAAACCAGATGGTGCCTAGAATGAGCCTGGGGTGGGGGCACAAGGCAGGCTTCTCAGAGTCCCAGAGGAGGAGGCAGTGAGCGGGGGTCTGACTCCTGGGGCTCTTTCCAGCGTCAGCACTGCTCCACAAACCCTGCACCGGCCCTGCACCTGCCTGTGGCTCATCAAAGGGCTCATGAGGCCCCAAGGGCCACATCCCTCCACCCCTCGCAGTCCTGCATTCCTGCCCTGTGGGGGAGATACAAAGAGAGAACCAAGCCCCTGGGATCAGGCCACTGCGGCTGGGGGCAGGGAGAGCTACCCCGGGGGCTTGGTCACAGAGACCTGCCATGGGGAGCTGCTCAGGATATGGGGTGGGGGTTAGGCTTCGATGTCAGGCAGGGCTGAGCTGCTACCTGCTAAGTCACCTGCACTGAGACACCCTCTCTGGACCTCAGACTCCCCATACCATGGCAGAGACTGCTGGCTGTCCCCAAGCCCCATTCACTCCTTCCTCCCCGGCTAGGGGCTGCACTTCCCAGCCTCCCTTGCAGCTAAGCCTTGTAACCAAGTTCTAGCCAAAGGGAGGTGAGCAGAGGTGATTCATGCAACTCGAGTCGCATCCTTGAGAGAAAGTGCTGTGCCCCCCGCTCCCCCTTTCCCCATGGCGGGAGTGCCGCTGTGGCATGGTGACGAGCCATCTAGGGCCTTGCAGAGGAGAGTGGCCCCTACGACAGCAGAGAATCCAGAGACCGAGCCTGGGCCGCTGGCAGCTCCATGGAGCAGAGTGGGTCCCCACAGCTTAGGGTTCGGTGTGAACGACAAAGGAGTTTCTGGCTTGTTGAAGGAGCTGTCGTTTGGAAAGCCTGTTGCCCGTAGGAAAACCTACACCCTTCCGATGCTACTTGTAAATTTGCAGGGAGGCTTCGCATGGGCCCTGTTCCTTTGGGGTGTCATCAGACACGCTTCCCATCTCCAGATCCGTCCTTGGGTAGGGTGCCTCCTTCCGTCTCCTGGGCACGGCTTCCAAACCAGCTCATCAGAGGTCCCTGCACAGCCTGGTTAGCTCTGCACGGTGACCGTTCCTCATGAGGACTGTCCAGGACCGACTCCTGGGATTTCTGTTCTGAGACACTCACATCCCTTCTGAGCATCTTCCCTGTTAAAAGCCTCTGCCGTGCGGCTGTCTCTGTTTGTTTTCTCTCCAAAGCCCGCTTCCCTGAAGCCTGCGACGCATTCCTGACTTTGCGGCAGGCCCACGGTGGGGGGAGGGGATGCTGGAGGGGCCTCTGCCTTGGGGCTTGGGGGGTGGTGCGTGCAGGGACACGTGGTGTTGGCCACCCTGGCCGCTCTGTGGGGTTAGCGGTGCACCAGCGTGGATGGGTTTCTACACCGGTCCCAGTGAGAAAGGACGAAGGGTGAGGCCAGGGTGATGGTGGTGGGGACACAGAGTGGCGTATGGACCTGAGAAATGTTCAGGAAGTAAAAGCTACCAGCCTTGGTGGCAGCTCAGCTCTAGAGGAGGCAGGAGGAGGAGGTGCTGAGGATGACTGTGTAGTTTCGGGTTTGGGGGAAGATCTGGGGTCTGGTTTGGGGCTTGTGTGAGGTGCCTTTGGAATAGCCAAGCAGAGAGGCCCAGTGGCAGAGGAGTGCATGGGGTGGGGCTGGGCAGGGAGGGGTCCACGCCAGAGATAGACACGTGGGAGTTGCTGCACGTGGGCGGTCACTGTGGGGCCACCAGGCCCAGCTGCCCCTTGTCAGATTAGGTGGCCGGTGGCTGTGGATGGGAGCAGGGGCGGGGCTGGGGCCTCCCCACAGAGAGGGAGGACGGCACTGGCAACAGCCCGCATGGTTAGGGGATCGCAGCCTGGTGGCAGGCTGGGGAGAGAGGGTCCCCTCCCTATGTGTCCCTGGGTGGGGGCCGGAGGAAACCCAAGAATGCAGGTGCAAGTGCTAGGCACGGGGGGACCAGGGACCTGGCCCACGTGAGGGAGAAACGGGCCTCCCGATGCCAGGCTTCCTTTCCCTTCAGAACAGGAGAGGCTTGGAATCATCCTCAGTGTGCATCCTGCCCCTTTCCTCTTTTTGTGTGACCTTGAGCAGGTCACCACCAGCTCTCTCCCTCCCTGCCCTCCCCAAGGGGCTGTAATGGGGATTAAATGAGAAAGAGCCCACAAGGCCCCAGCAAAGTCCTTGACAGAGGGGACACTTGCCAAGTGTAGGTGGCATTGGCCCGTTCACTCCCCAACCCCACGAAGGGTGTCTCAGTGCCTGCGAAGCCCCCACAGCCAACCTCATTGCTTGCTTCAGTCCAGGGAACTGAAGGGTCTTTTGGTGCCAAAGTGTGACAGAGAGCTGAGCAGGCAGGGCCTCGGGTGCCACGCGGCAGGGCTCTGGGATGCCAGCCCTCTGCGGGGCCAGGTCCCCGGCATCTTGCCAGTTTCCCCAGGTGAGGCATGTCAGAGTCGATTTCGTGCTTCTCCCGTCCCGTGTGTGTGTGTGTGTGTGTGTGTGTGTGTGTGTGTGTGTGCGCGCGCGTTCTTACCTTGCGGTGACGCTCCAGCACTGGGGGCAAACCCACACAGCCCGCTCTGTGCTCAGACACTTTCCTCCACTCAGGATCTGCTCGGAGACAGGGACAATGCCCTACAGGGGTGGGGAGCTTGCTCCACGCCAGCACTGTCCCAGTGCTTTATCTCGTCCCATCCTCACCAGCCCTGTGAGGTGGTTAGTCTAAACAGCCCCATTTCATAGAGGGGGCACCCGGGGCATAGGAAGAGTAAGGAGCCCGAGGTCGCATGGCAAACAAGTGGCATGGCTGGGCTGGGACCCCAGGCGGCTGGGCTCCAGGGCCCCATGTGTAACAGTGACCAGGTACCTCTCCCTGCCCCGGGTCATTGCTGCTTCCCATCTGGGCGGCCTCACCAAGAGCTTTACAAACACAGCGTGTGTGCTGGGGTAGGGGAGGTGACATGATGTGTCAGTGGCTGGCCCGGCGGGCAGGTGACATGCTAAGGAGATTACGGGAGGCCAGAAGCATCCCCTCCCAAGGCTGATCCCAAGACAACCCATCTCCCTCTCCCTCCCTCCAGAGCAGGTTGGCTTTTTGCTATTATTGTTCTAAGTATTGGCATTCTGGTTGTTTAAAAAATTGTTAAACAAAGGGTTCAAGGTCAGCCCCTGCTCATGTCTGGAGACAGATCCAGGATGGCCCTGGGCCTTGCTGGGTGGATGGGGCTCCCCTGCCAGCCCTGAGGGGACCCCCAGCCAGCCACACTGGCTTCCTGACCCAGGGCCAGGGCTCTGACCCAGTCACTCAGCCCTCGTGTGGGCCCCCAGGGCACGGCGAGACAAGGCCTGAATGTTCCGCGAAGGCCTTTTCCTTGCTGTCGTCTCTGGGCCTGGGGTATCTCCAGGCCCGGCCGCAGCACGGGCACTAGAAATCACCTGGGTCACGTCCCACCATGCTGGTTCCCGGGAGCCATGCCAGACCCACTGATGCAGAGGCTGGGCAGTGCGGCCTTGTCATCTGCGTCGTCACCCACCTCCCAGATGATCCCGCAGCACCGCGGACCCAGATCGCTGTGCCGGTGGGTCTGTTTATATTGGGAGACACCCTGTGTGCTCCGTGGGCCTTCCCGGCCCTGCTCCTGCTCAGCCTCCACCAGGCGGGCACGAAGACACGCCTGGCCACGACTCCAGATCGGGCCCTGCGGTCCACCTGCCTAGGTGCCCCCTCCTCTGTTCTGCTTCCAGCCAAAGAGGCCGGGCTTCTGTGTGATTGACAACAGGGGGGTGGAGCATGGGAACACCCAAGGATCCCCCACCCCAGAAACTTCTTTCCCCGCAGGTTCTCAGGCCGGGCCCAAAGACTATGCATGTTATCATAAAAGAAAGAAAATTCTCCCCCTTTGAATATACATTTCATTCAGAGCAACCACCAAGCGTCAGCCTCTGGTCAGCACGGGGGTGGGGTGGTGTCACGGACACAAGGTGACAGAGGCGCGTGCGCTCAGCGTCATGGACTGGCAGCTCCTGGCTGTGCACTGGTGCTGTCTTGAGCTCTCTGTCCCCCCACCCCACCCCCCTCTATCTGTGGCTGTGTCTCTCTTTCTCTCTCTGAGAGAAAGAGAGACACATCTTATGCATCTCCAGGACTGCTGGAGAAAGCAGTGACAGCATGGGAATTAGGTCCCTTTGGAGGGGCCCCTATGGGCTGGGCTGGTCCTGGAAGGCTGCCTGGAGGAGGTGAGATGTGAGCAGGGTTTTGATGGATGAACTGTTGTTTTAGGGCAGAGGCTAAAAATGTCAGCAGCCAGGCAGATGATGAGAAAGAGTTGGTGGGGGGTGGGGGGGACAACAGGGAATGAGGGGCACTGTGGACCCCAGGAGCACCTATCCCATCTAAGGGGAGCAGCTGCTAACGGTGCTGACGTGGAAAGCGTGGCTCGCCTCGCTGGATTTGATTTTGCAAGAGCAGCAGGAAGCCCAGCTATCTGTGGGAAATGTCCCAGGATCCGGTCACTGTGTAGCTACGTGAAAAGGGTCTGTGGCTGACTGGCCCAAGGGCCGAGTGCCTGGGGGGGCGGTCTTTGGTGCGATGCTGCCAGATCGCTGTGTCGATGGGTCTCCTGCCTCCCACCTGCTCCCCCTCCCTGTCCCAGCAGCAGTTCAGTAGGGTGGAGCTGCTGCCCGAGCTCTGGGGCCACGTGGCTCAAAGCCCAGCCCTGACGCTGGCCCGACCCAGACTGTCCCTCCCGGCTGTGGCTTCACCTCTGGTCCTTCCCTCCCAGGGCTGCTACACCGTGATCCTCAACACCTTCGAAACCTACGTCTACCTGGCTGGGGCTCTGGCCATCGGGGTGCTGGCCATCGAGGTGAGTAGAGGCCCCCACTCCTGCCGCTCTGCAGGGGGCAGCCTGCCCCTCCCCCCACCGTGTCCTTACCCAGGACCCAGCGGGTGTGGGCACCCCAGGGTACAAGCCCAGCTGGCTGTCCGCTGCCCGAGCGTTACCCTTGGACTAGGGAGATGATGCATCGAGCCAGTCTCCTGGCAGTGGTGGTGGGCAGGCCCTGAGAGACCGGCCTCCCACCCCCCATGCCTGCCCCACCTCCGCCCCAGCTCCCAGTCCAGAATGCACCCTCGCGGAGGGACCAGCACAGCGGCAGCCTGTGGTCCTAGACCAGGCCTCTTCTCCTGGGAGTGTTCAGGGCCTGCGGGGCCTTGCGAACCTGCCAGCGGTGGTCTTAGCCCCCTTTGCCGGAGGGCCCCAGAGCCGCCTGGAGAAAGGCGAGCCGCTGCAGACCGTTCGCAGCCACCACTAGGTGGCGCTCCAGCCAAAGAGAGGGGCTGCCGCCCCTCCGGCCCTCAGTCCTCCCTGGGATCTCGGACCCCCTGCCTGGAGGGCTGCATGGGCAGCTCCGCTCCTCCCTCGCCAACTCCAGGACGGGCTCCCTGGGGCCTCAGCCAGCCCTCGGCCTGCAGGGAAAGGAAGTCAAGACGGCCTGATCCTCCGTTTCCCACTGTGCCCGGCAGCCCGGAGAGAGCAGTTCTGCAGAGGCTGTGGGCATGGGCACAGGAGGGTCATTTATTTATTTATCCGTTCATTTATTCGGTAAGCACATGCTGAGCCCTGCTGTGCGCCAACACGGGCGGCAACAATGAACAGGAAACAGATAAATCCGCGCCCAGAGCCGGGGAGAGCTCAGGACTGAGTCCAGTGCAGGGAGAGGGCGGCTCCAGAGCCCAGCTCCCAGCTCTGCGCCTCCCCAGACCTCAGTTTCCTCATCTGCAAAATGGTGCTGACCACCCTGCTCCCGGGGCGCGTGGGCGTTGCAGAGGATGGGACAGTGTGCCTGGGGGCAGTGAGTAGTGGCTCTGTGCTTGATCCTCCACCTCGCACCCTGCCCAGCCCCAGGACGCGCTCATCCGGAGGGGAGGCAGAATCCTGCTCCAGGCTGAGACCTCTGCTGTGGGTGCAGGCTCCAGCCCCCTCCACCCACTGAGCCTCCTGGACACTTGGCCGTGAGCCGTGGCCTGGGAACTCTTCCTTGGGCTACTTGTAGGAGCTCTGGCCATGGTGACATCAGCTAATCTGGTCAGGGGAGTCCCTGCGGCAGGGTCTCTGCCTGCCCCACCTCCCCAGGGCCCTCAGACAGGCATTCGGGGTTAAGCGTATAACTCTCGGGAGGGTTGCCTGTTAAATACAGTCCTGCGTCATTGCCCCCCACTTAAATCTCACCCCCTTCCTGTGAGCTAGTGCAGTTATGACCATGGAGTCAGAAAGCCTGGACTCACACCTTGACTCCCCGCTTGTTGCTGTGTGACCTTATGGAAGTTATGTGACCTCTCTGTGCCTTGGCTCCTGGTCCATGGAAAGGTTCACAGGGAAGCACTTAGAACCAGGCCTGGCGCTCAGTAGGTGAGCTCCGGATATATACGCAGGCCCAGAGAAGGGAAGTGCTTTGCCCAAGTTCACCGCTGGCAAATCGGGGAGCTGGCCTTGGACCTGTGACTCAGTTTCCAAAGTTCCCCTCTCGCACTACATAAAGAGGGCCAGGTGGCTGGTGAGAGGGGCTGGGCCCCAGGGGCGTGTCAGGAATCCCTGGGAGGAAGGTGCTGAGAATGACAAGCCCCAGAGGCAGATGGCCCTTCCCCTCGCGTGGGCTGGGCACCCTGGGGGCCGTGGGCGCAGCCTGACGAGCCGACTCCTGCTTTCTTTGCAGCTTTTTGCCATGATCTTCGCCATGTGCCTCTTCCGGGGCATCCAGTAGACGGTGTGGCCCGACGCCCCGCCACGCCCGCCGCCGCCCAGCACCCAGTGCGCTCCCCTGCCCTGCCCGCCGTCCTCTTGGCCCCAGAGGAGGAGACGGGCCGTGGTGGATGGCCAGGGGAATAGAGCTATTTTTTTAACAAGACAAAATGAAGACAAAAATAAGGACTGACTGATGCCCCTCCAGGGCAGGTGCCATGGGCTCTCCGCAGGGACGCCAGCACCCTGTCCAGGATGCAGTCTGCTCTAGAGACCAAAGGAACGCCAATCCCAGGCCCCTCCCTGGCCCAGCCAGACTCTGGTATCCCCGGGCCGGGGCCCACTCTCCTCACGGCTTCAGGACCTGGTGCCAGGAAAGTGAGGATTTAGACAAGGGGGCAAAACCGAACCTCAGAGAAGTCATCAAAGCCCGGGGGGGCCCCAAGGAGACTCAACCACCACGTCCGTGAGGACTCAGAACCTACAGTGCAATCCCTGGCCCACCGGAGGGTAGAGTTGTCCCCGCCACAGGCCAGGGCCGAGAGTGGGCTGCAGACACTGGATCCAAGAACAGCCCAGCTGGCAGGGCCCTTGCTTTCCCATCTGTTGGACCAAATAATCTTAAAGGCCCAGAGAGGGGCAGCAACCTGTCCACAGTCACACAGCACATGCATGACAGTTCTGAACAGGAACCTGAGTTGTCCCCAGGCTGCTGGCACTTCCTCCAGGGCTCTGTCACATCCGCTGCTCACATGCGCCCCTGGTCTTAGCATCTGGTTCCCGCAGGAGAGAGAACGCAGCCAGCTAAGACTGCACTGTGTGCCCCCGCCCTCCCTCAAACCTCCCCACACTTCTGAGTCCCCACAAAACACATGTATGCACATCACATCCCCTTGTCTGCTCTGCCCACCTCTCCCCACAAGCCACCCCCTTCCCTGTCCTTCCCCATCTCCCTGGCTCCCAGAGTGAGAGAAATCCCCATGGCCATCTGGGTCTCCCCCTCCCCACCCAGAACTGAGGCTTGATTGTCTTCTGCAGACCCTTGCCAAGATTCTCCATCTTCTTGCATACCTCCAGGGACAGAGAGCTCACTACCTCCCAAGGCAGCCTTCTGCCTGTGGACTGCTCTGACTTTAGCAGAATATACAGAAGAGGTTTCTGTTTTCCTGTGGTACCGTCCGTGGCATCCCACTTGCTCCCTCTCCTTCCTGGAGTGTCAGGGCTACACACTGACTCCCCTGAGCCCTCTGCTTTCCAGGCTACAAAGTCCCCACGGCATCTCTGCCATTTCTGCTGCGACAAGGTTTCCTGGCCCCTCAAACTGTCCATTCATTTCTGAGTGTTCCCTCTAGGCTGGGGCAGGGACACTCACAACACACATGCCTCAAAGTCTAGACCCGTGTAGACACCTGGGTTGCAAGATGCCTGACCCTGACTCATCAGGGGTGGCTGCGGAGGCTGTGCCGAGGTCCCCAGGTTTGGGCTGGGGTCAGTGGAGAGGGCAGCACAGCCCCGACCAGTGCCGTCTGCCCGACACCCTCAGTGCGATTGGTGACGTCTGCCGCAGGCAGGGCACGGAAGGCGCACGATGCCTGCTCTCTGCGCTCTCCACGGGCCTCTCAGGTCCCACAAGGAGCCCTCCACAAGCCACGGGCACCCTGTGCCCGCGCCCGGCCTCCCCTTGTGCTTTCCAGCTACATCTGGGGGACACCGAGCCCAGCGCTCCCTGCCTGCCACCTTCTGAGATGCAGCCAGGAGCTCTGTGCCTGCAGGAAAGACTCAGTGTGACCCTCCTTCCCCTCCTCCTGCTGTGCCCCCAGTCCGGGCCCTCCCCCAGGTTTCTGATCCGGTTTTCCCAAACTGTCACGGTGACAGCCTGCCCTGGTGACTCCATGCATGACGCCACGAGCTCCCTAGAGACCGGGTCCCAGGACCCCAGCGGACCTGCAGCTGGGAACCGAGCCCGGCCTGAGACGGGCCTGGGCCGGACCCTCCCTGGACCCACCCACCTGATCAGCCCCAGCCTCCCAGCAGAGGCAAACGGCTGGTCTGGGGTCAACAAGCACCCCAAACCCAGGCTGGGCGGGGCTGGAAACTGCACAGCTCTGTGGCTGCGGTCCAGGGCACCCCAGGCTTCTGCCGCCCATGGAGGAGCGAGAGGGAGGATCTGGGAGAAAGGGCTGATCACGGAGGAACAGCTGGCTCAGGTGGCTTCAAGGGTGGGTCCGAGACTCCCCAACCTGCATCCGCACTTTAGCTCCCAGTCACGGCCCCCGTCCCGGGCTGGAGGGAAGCAGGGCGTCTCTGCTCCCATGGCATGCGCCCAGCCGGTAGCTGTTGGCAAGGCTGCCTGAGGCCATTCCTAGGCGCCAAGGAAAATAAAGCCCAGCCCAAATCAAGCCGGACCCTCCCTCCCTGCACAAGACCTGCAGGCGACAGGGCTCAGTGGCTTCGTCCAGATACAACCCACAGCAGGTTCTGAGGGTGGCAGCTTGGCTGCTGGGGGGGTGAGCAGGGATGCCTCTGCTTTCCACCCCAGGATACAACAGCCCGTACCTGAGACCTCCTCTGACCCCACTACCAGGGCAAGGAACAAGGGAGACTTTACACGGTCGGTCACACACCCTGCCCTGTTCCGAAAGCCACTTTCCTGAAGTCACTGCATCTTGGAGAATGGGAATCTATCTTAGGGGTGGGGGCTCCCTGTTGACACGCAGCCTTGTTGCTTGGGCCCTCCCCGTCCTCTCTCTGTCCCTGCCCAAGGGGCCCAGGCAGGACTCCCCAAACCAGCCGAGGCCCCGGCACCCCATCTCTCCCCAGAAATCCTCTCCACCCCTCCCCCCGGGCCCTGTGTTGAAAGTCTATTTTGAAAACTGTACATGCTCCTGGCGGTAGATGGCAGAGCTAATTTATCACGTTTATCTCCCGTGAGCCCTTTTATACTATATATCGAGAGGAGTTTTTGTAATATAAAGCAGGACGCCCACACTGATGGTTTTGCACTGGTTTTTGTGACTGTTTCTTACAAAAAGAAAAAGGAACGAAGAATAAATAGTGACCGTGAAGAAAGGTGGTCTTGATTTGGGGGTGGGGGTAGCCTGAGGCTGAGGCGGAAGCTTGACAAGGGGGTGCTGGGTTCCGGCTGCAGGGGGACTGGGAGAAGGGGCGTCCCAGGTCACCCCAAATGGAGCAGAGAGCTGGGCCCACACCTGGCCTTCCCCGCTGGAGGGAGGGTCGGTCCCTCTCCCCTCTGTCACTGCCCCCTTCCCAACCGTAACCCTTCCTTGCCTTAATGTCCCCTGCCCCAGAGGCCGCATCTGTCCTGCAGGTCTCACCTGACCTCAGCCCCCCCCACCCCCAGGATTCACTACAATGAACTCTAACTAAGCCACACGGTATGTCATGAGCTCTGCCCTGCGCCACTGCCTGGAGAGCCCCACCCGGGGGCGGCCACGCCCCTCGCCAACCACCGCTCAGTGGAGGGTCGCGGCTCAGTGGAGGGTCTGGCGGGCACAGGCCAGACTCTGCTTCCCACCCCCCGCCTGCCTCCCGCCATGGGTCCACCCGCCATGCCTGGCAGTTACTGGGACCACAAGCCGACCATCAGCCACTGGGGGCGCGGCTGGGCCTCAGCAGGCCCGGCTCAGACGGGACACTGAGGCTTCGGCCTTGGGGAGGTGGCAGTGGGTTCCCGGCCAGCCGGTCTGGGCAGCAGGTGGACAGCCCTCCAGGACTCACAGACTCGGATGCCAGGACAGAGGGGCCCTTCCCCAGAGCCCTGCCTCCCATTCCACTCGGCCACTCTCCCCAGCTGCCTGACCCTGGTGGTGCCACCGCTCTGCTGCGCACGGGCCATGTCACTGGGCACGCGGTGGCAGGGACGGCTTGGTCCAGGCAGAGGCCCCAGGCAGCAGCTTCCTCCCCGACTCTGTCCCAAGAAGGGGAAGGAGTCTGGAGCCTCCCTAGACTCGTCCGTCTGCTGTGCGGGGGCGTGCAGGGGGAAGGAGGGCACCGCACAGCAGGGGGCCTGCAGGGAGAGGCAGGGCAGGGCGTCTGCGGGGCACCGGGTGGCCGAGAGGCAGGGCCTGCTGAAACATTTCTGTTTACTCCCCTAGCTGAGTGTGAGGCCTACAGGGCCAGGCCCCGGGGGCAGCTCCCTGGGGACGGGGTGGGCAGGGGTGAGCCAGGTGAGCATCAGGCCACGGCTGTCCTTTCCTCCCCAGTCTCCAAACGCCATCACTTACGGTGGCTCCACGGGGGGCTGTGTGCCCATCTGTCTGTGGGCCTGTGCGTGTGGCCGCTGGCAGCCTCTGAACCCAGAGTGGCTGGAGGCAGCCCTGGAGGCAGAGCACTCCGAGCAAGCCCAGGACAGCTCACCGTGGGCCAGGCCTGGGGTGGGGACAGGGCTTGTAGCTGCACATGGCCCATCTGCACAGAGGCTAAGAGGGCAGTGCCATCTCAAAGACAGCCCACCCCTGCTGGGCTGTGGGAAGGGGCACGTGTGTGTGTGTGTGTGTGTGTGTGTGTGTGTGTGTGTGTGTGTGTGTTTGGGGGCACAGAGGGGGAGGGCCCAGGTTGAGAAGCAGGGGCACAGGGCCAAGTTCTCAGGTTTTCCAGGCACGGCGGGAAGCCAAGTCCAGCTGTGGGGCCACTAGGTTGCCCGGGGTGCAGGGAGAAGGGGGGCCGGTCCACAGCCTCTCTCCAAAGCAAGAAGGGCTTCCTGGCAGAAGAGGCTGGACCCTCGACTTAGCCCACTACCCCTATGACTCGGACATGACTTCAGTCTGTCTGTCAAAGGGATTTGGAGGCCAAGAGACCCAAGAAAAGGAGGTGCCCCTGTGTGGAGTGAAGAATGAGGGTGCAGAGGCCCCCATCTGTCCCCAAACCAGGATCTCAAACCTGGAAGCCCAGGAGAACACAGCATCCGGTGAGTGCCCATGAGGGAAGTAAGGCCACCACCTCTGCCCGCCTGGGCCAGGGCGGGGGTCCCCTGCCTTCCAGGAACCAAAGGGAAACAGAGGCCCCAGAGCCACCCTGCTCCGGGCATGGGCAGGGTCCCCTGGCCCAGCAGGCGGCTAGACTTTCTTGGGTCTTCGGCCGACCTGGTAGTAGTAGTAAACGCTGATGATGACAAACAGGAGGCGGCTGGCCAGGAGCAGCAGGGTCCCCAGGGACACGAGGCCCGTCTCGGCTAGTGTGGCCGTGACCACTGCGGGAGAAAGGCCAGGGAGGGGACAGAGGTCAGAGGAGGGGATGTGCCCTCACGCCCCACCACGGGATGCCACGCTGGGCCCGGGGTCCTGCCAGCTGGAAAGGGCAGCACCCCCCCACACCCCTGCGGAGCCCACAGACGTTTCTGTCCCGATGGCCCCGTGTGGCAGGAACCAGGACCCAGCGTGTGGGCACAACTGAGCGTGTGCTGTCACACGGGTGCAGGTAACGGTGAGCAGCGGAGCGGGAGGGTGCAAGGCTATGGACGCACACGTGGATTAGAAGATCCAGGTATGTGTGTCAGGTGTGTGGGCACACAGGTGCCCCTCCCCCCACCCTCCCCCCACCCCAGACAGGTTTTCCTCACTTCCTGCAAACCCGGGTGGCTGGAGCTGGCAGGTGGGGGACAGAGCCGCACACCCCAAGACTCACCCAAGAACTGGACCCCGAAGTAGCAGGCTTCCGTCAGCAGGGTCCACCGAATGATGACCTTCTCGGCCGTGTACAGCGCGTTCCACATGATCAGGGAGATGCCTGGGGGTGGGGAGGACAGCTGAGTCCTCGGGGCAGGGCCAGGGGCCTGTCCCTCCTGTCTTTGGCCACTGCTGCAGGACAGCCAGGGCCCTGGACTCCACGTCCCCGTTCCGACTCACAGGCCTCAAATCAAAGGTGTCTGTCCCTGTCCCAGCCCTTCCAGCCTGCTCCTGTCATTTCCAAGACTAAGTCATTTAGCCCAGGGCAAGTCATTGCTCCCACTGGACTCAGTCTCTTCATCTGTAAAGTGGGAGAACGGAGCTGCTGGCCCCACTCACATCTGGTTCTGTCATTAGGATCCTGTGGATGGAGTGTGTGAGTTCACGGGTTTTCTTTCCTAATGGACTTCTGAGGACAGAACACCTGAGCATGCAGGAATCACTCTAAAGAACACCCAGGGGCAGGGGACGGACAATGTTCTTTAGTGGAAGAGCTACTAACTCAGCCTCTAGCAGGTCCCGACGACCAGTGGCTGCTGGCTCTGAACACCAGGTGTCACCAAGTGTGGACACATTTTATTCCAACCACCCTTACTCCAGAGGAGCTGAGACTTTACTCTGCAGGCAACAAGGAGCCATAGAATGTTTTAGAGGAGGGGAGGGACAACACCTATGCTGAGCTTTAAAAACTGTAGTCTAGCTCCCTGGCAGCCACGGTGATCATCTCAGATCAGAGGACCAGGGGGTTCAGATGCTCTGGGGCTGCAGAAGGGAGGGGTGTCGCAGGCTCTGGACTGACTCTTCCTCCCCTCTAGGCCGTGAGGCCCTGCAGAGCCGGGCCTGGGCTCACTCTCCGCACCCAGTGCCCAGGGCACTAACACGCAGCGAGCATCAAAGACGGGTCCCAGGCCGCTGGGTGTTTGCCGCCCATGGCCACAGGGTGGCAGCATACACCCAGCAGAGACACCCACCAGCGGCGGGGCGGAGGGGCGGGGCTGCCGCATCGGGGCAGGGTAAGGAAGGGCCGGGCAGAGGATGGCTCCCGGGCCCCTGCTTGGGATCCCAGCAGCGGTGGCCTCCCCCGGCGTGCACCCCGGCAGTACTCACTGAGGAGGGCGCCACCATACAGGCGGACGGGGGTCTTGCTGGCCACCTCGGCCCCATCGAAGACCACGTCGTAGAGCTGGTCGGGGAAGGCCAGGGCCTGTGGGCGGGAGGGGACGCTCAGGGACAGGCCGGGCGGTTGGGGGGGGACTGCTGACACTTCCCACGGGCACATCTCTTTCCCTGCACCCAGGAGCAGGGCCAGGGTCCCCGGGGTGGTCCTTGGGGCAGTGCAGGGGCTGGAGCTGAGGGCCCCCACCCCTCCACACCAGGACAGAGGCTCCAGGCCGAGTCAGGGCCATGGGCCTTGGAATCCGGGGTGCCCCAGGGCAGGCACAGATGGGGATGTGCCAGGAGCTGGGCAGGTGGCCCGACAGGATGGCAAGGCGGGGAGAGGCAGCTGGGGGCCAGGGCGGGGTGGGGACTCACCATGACGGCTATGCCAGAGAAGAGCACAGCAGAAACGAACTGCCAGACCCTGGGGAGGCGGGAGAGGAAGGTCACACCCAGGCCCCCCGCTGCCACCCCAGCCCCCAGGGGACCCTCGGTGCCCAGGAGGGCTGGTTTGGGGGAGATAATGAGATGGGATGGAGTCAAGGGCAAGATGAAACAGGGGCACAGCCAAATAGGGGAATCTTATGCAGCCCCCCTCCCTGCCCCCAAAACAAACTCAGACAAATGCTCACCTGAGCCCCAACGGCTCCCGAACCGTGAATTTGGTCTCGTTGCCCAAGACCTGGCTGATCTGTGGACACAGCGGGGTCAGAGGCGACCGGAGTGAGGGCAGCTCTCGGCATGCCTGGCCCCTCATCCTCCCAGAGCCCCTGCCTGCCCAGGGATTGGGATGGTCACACTGAAAATCAGCTAAAAATATAGTGGCTAAGAGTGAAAGCTCAGGGGTCTGGCCGACGTGGGCTTGAATCCTGGTTCTGCCACTTACTGCTGTGACCTCAGTGGGCTTGAATCCTGGTTCTGCCACTTACTGCTGTGACCACTTAACCTCTCTGAGCCTCAGTTTCCTCGTCTGTAAAACGGGCCAATAATTGTCAGTCTCTTCCAGTCCCAGTGCTAGCAAGACTTAAAAATTCATATGCAGGTTGAGCACAGTGGCTCAGGCCAGTAATCTTAGCACGTGGGAGGTTGAGGCAGGAGCATCACTTGAGGCCAGGAGTTCAAGACCAGCCTGAGCAAGAACGAGAGTTTCATCTCCACCAAAAATAGAAATATTAGCCGGGCATGGTGGCGCGTGCCTGTAATCCCAGCTACTTGGGAGGCTGAGGCAGGAGGATCGCTTGAGCCCAGGAGTTAGGGGTTGCAGTGAGCTATGATGACACCACTGCACTCTAGCCCAGGAGACAGAGCGAGACTTTGTCCCTCCCACCGAAAAAACAGCAGCGGATGCAATGCCTGGCACATAACAGACACTCAATCAGTTCTAATGATCTGTTCTTGTTATTGCTGTTATTCTCCTGACGTCTCCATTAGATCTCTAGGAAAGTGACCTAAGTCGTGGGACTGCGGCAGCTACGAGCCTCATGAGCCTCAGCCACTCTTCTCCTCCACTGGGCTCGGGCCCGCCCCACGCTGGCGCCCAGAGGCAGGGCCCGCCCCACGCTGGCGCCCAGAGGCAGGGCCCGCCCCACGCTGGCGCCCAGAGGCAGGGCCTGCCTGGTGGCCCACCTTGGAGCGGTGCACCTCCCCGTCGTCGTCCTCCCCGCCCACGCCCAGGATCTTCCGGGTCTTCAGGCGGCTCACAAGGTCCGTCTGGCTGTGCTTCTTCATGAGCGGTGGGGGCTGCTTGGCCGCCATCTTGTCCTTGAGCCCCGCCTCTGCAGAAGGCTGAGGGGAGACGGGGGCCTCAGGCCACCTTCCCGCCCAGCCTCCAGGCCTCAGCGGAAGGGGCCCAAGAGTATTCGGGGGCCAGACCCCTCCGGGCCTGCTGAGGCCTCCCATCAGCCTGGGACAGCAGGTGGAGCCCAGCTGGCCTCAGTTTCCTCATCTGTCAAATGGGCTGGGGGGTGCTTCTCAGGCCCTTCCGACTCTGGGAGCCCCATCTGGCCTCAATGGACAAGACACACCCCATCCCGCCAGTCTGGCCAGCCCGAGAGGAGTGGTGGCCAGGAAAGGGAACTCAGGCCTAGGTGGGGACCGCACCAGAGCTTTCTGGGGGTGGGGGAAGGGAAAGCTTAGAAAAGGGGAGGGTCTGCCCAAGCCCAGGCCCAGGCCCCACTGAACTTATCCCAGGCAATCGTGCTGCCCAATGAGGCCCCCGTGTCTCCCACCAGCCTCCTTCAAACAGGACCAAAGGAAGGCGAGGGGGTGGCCCAGGGCCCAGCCCAGCCAGAGGCGGCAGGCCCGGGGTGTTGGCAGGGACGCTGCCCAGGCCTCGCCCCCATCAACACCCCACCCGGGTCTGCCAGTGGCCCCCACTGCCCCCAGCTCCAGCCACCCCCAGCAGCGCCTCGGGCCAGGTCCTGGGCACCTGCTGTGTGCCGGCCCCTGTGCTGGTCACGGAGACGCAGAGATGAGCTGAGCCCACTGTGTCTTCAGTCAGTCCACATCCACGCCGCGGAGACACAGGGTAGACGGGGAAAGGGTCGAGGATGAAGGCCAGGCTCCGAGGCTCCGGGGGTGGCCCTGGCTCCTCTGGGCACAGCTCCTGCAAGACGGGCGCTGTCTGTACCCACGCTGCGGAGAAGGACACCAAGCTCCCTGGGCGTGGACAGGAGACGGGAGTGAGGAACAGGAGCGAGCACGGCAGCGCCTCGCCCCACACGGCCGTAGGCACCGCATGGCCACTCGCGCCCACCCTCCCGCAAGGCAGAGCGCCATCCCCAGGGCCAGACAAGGCTCAGGAGCCACCCGTCCCCTGCCACGGGACCCTGCCATCTCAGTGCTGTGTGGCCCCGGCACATCTCATCCTCCCAGCCCCAGGTAGTGCTGGCAGAGGCCAAGCGTGCGAATGTCCCCAGGAATGTGGAAATGTCCCCAGGGCACCTCCTGTTTTCAAGCCTGCCAGAGTTTTAAAACAAAATATAGCACCCGAACAAATAAACGTCAGAACAGAGCATGAGCCGTGGGGTATATGAATATCGCCGTGGCTTTAGACCAGATCGACTAGGAGGTGGTGCACCAGCAGGCGTTGGGAAGTCACAGCGTAAGTCGTAAGTTGACGAGGAAGGTCTTCAATGAGTGTGGCGTCCGGGCCAAACGCCCTCCTACTCCCCTGGGCCGGCCTTGGTCCCTCATCTGTAAAAGGGGTGGCTATCCTTCCCCCTCCCCACACACAGGCCCTGGGGGATGGGAGGCCAAGCGTGGTGACCGTGACTGCCTGGCACATGGAGGCTCTCAGCTAAGGCCACCAGCAGGGAGACGACCCGGCCTGCCCCGCCCGACAGGGAAGCCAGGGTCTAGCCTTTCATCACATGGGACGGAGGGCCCAGGACGCTGTCCCAACACCTCGGCTGCCTGCCACCACTTCCGTGTGGATCCAGATAGAAGCTATAATTAGCCTCGTCCCCCCGGCTGCCAGGGAGGCTGCCCCAAGAGCCAGCGAGCCGTGGGGAAGCGGGGAAGCAGAGCCCCAGAGCCGGCCAGGCCCTTAGCAAAGGGCACGTTAACTGTCGCCTGGCCCTTCCTCACCTTCCTCTTCCAGCCTCCCCTGTGGGCTTTCATTGTTTTAACACAGGAAAACCGTTTTGGTTGTACAGTTACATGGATTTTAGCACCTACAGATTCACGCAGCAACCAGCTCCAAATCAGGGCACAGGGCGGTTCCATCAAACCAAGAACTCCCTCGTGCTGCCCCAGCTACACCCTCCCCTCTCTCCTGGCAGCCACTGATCCGTTCTCTGCCACTGTAGTTTTGGTTTTGTTTCTTCAAATGTCACATACACGGAATGATCAAGTATGCAAAAGCTTCTGAGAACGGCTGCATCCAGCAGGCGCCTCTGAGATTCATCCCAGCGCTGCCCGTGTCGGTGCCCCTCCTTTTCACGGTGCCCCTCCTTTTCACGGTGCCCCTCCTTTTCACGGCAGAGCAATATTCCAGGGGCCTCACGCACTGGCGTGTTTACCCATCTGCTCACTGAAGGACGTCTCAGTTGTTTCCAGCTTTAAGAATAGAGCTGCTATAAACATTCCTGCACAGCTTTTTGTGGGACAAGTTTTCGTTCCCCCACGGTAAATACCGAGAAGGGACCCCTGAGCTGTACGGCACACCTCCGAGGAACTTTCGGGCACGGCGCCACACTGCCCCTCAGAGCGGCTGTCCCAGTTCACGAGCCCAGCAGGGCACGAGCGTTCCAGCTCCTCCACGTCCTTGTCCTTTCCCTGACAGCAGGTGCGTGCTGGGCTTTATTTCAGTCCTTCCAGCCCCTCCCGGGTTTCTACCCTCCTCACCCAGGCCAGACTGCCGCGCCCCTCCCCAGCCGCGTGGCCTTGTGCTCTGTTCCCCTGTGCCACGGAGCAGTAACTCCCACCTCCTGGGGATCGTGGGCAACAAAGAGAAGCTTGGTGACAGCACCAAGAGCAGCACCTGCACGTCTGAATGAAGAAACCGCATTTGGTGAGGTGGGTCTTGAGCCAGGTGCCGGGTGGAGCGACAGGCCGGGGTGGGGAGGGCCGCCGATTAGAGCACGTTACTTCCCGCTCTGAGCTGCAGTGCTCCCGAGAATGAAATGAAAACCACCACCCTTCCTCCCCCACCCCCCAGCTGAAGCAAAATAATGGACAGAAAGAGCTTTATAAAGAGCCAGCGAACTGCTAAAGCCAGAAGGCACAATGGTCACGGGTGTCACTGCGTGCCTGTGGATAAGTCGCTTAATCGCCACGTGCCTCAATTTCCCCATCTGCAGGGAGATATCCTAGCTCACAGAGACGCTGTGAGTAGAGATCTCCGAGAAGTCCGTGGGGCAGCGCCTGGCCACGGGCAGCGCTCAGCCCCCACGCACAGCGCCCTGGACGGAGCAGGGCAGGATCAGGAGCCCGGACTAAGAGTGCTTCCCAACCTCGCCACCCCGTTAAGCAAAGCCCCAGGCCTCGGACCCGGGCCAGGTCCGCCAGGCCTGGGCCGTGACAGCGACCCAAGTGGGTCGGAAGCTTCCAAGCAGTAGAAGCACAGCTTTCCTCCACCTGCCGACCCCTCCCCACCAACACCCACACACGCACACACGTTCCCCTCTGCACCGCAGGCCTGAGCCCACGACAGTGACTACAGAGGGCATGTCAGTGCCAGCCCGCTGGGACTGGATCCAGAGTGGGCATTACAGTGTCCTGGGTAGTGTCACCCAGGGGTGGCACAAGCTTTATCCAGACACTGCCATCAGGTACCTGGGCGGTGGGACCCACTCTGCCCACCTCAGAGCCCCGCCCCAGCAGGGAGCTCCCACACAAAGGGCCCATGCCTCCCAGGGAGAACGGGACAGTGGACGTCACCTGCAGGGAACGGATCCCTGCACCCCCTTTCAGCTGCGTCTGCCCCTGCTTTGCCCCAGGACTGGGCCTTCAAGATCCTATCCACCATACCCATCCCTAGAATGCCCTACCCCCAGGCCAGCCACACCCGCCCCCAAGACCGCCCCTTGACCCTTCCTGCCCTGCAAGGCCACTCCAAGTGTTTATTTCAGGCCTGGCACCATTTTAACCTAAGTGGGGACAGAGGGCGTCTCCTGCCACCCCACCCCGTGCACCCTGGCCAAACTCTGGCTTTGGGGTGAGTGGGCCTGGGCTTCAATCTAGGCTCTGCCCTCCTACCAGCGGCATGGCTTTGGGAAGTCTCGACAGCTCTCCCAGCCTCAGTTTCCCCCTTGTGAAACGGGGTCATGAGAATGCCTGCCTGGCAGAAGTGCTGGTGGATAGAGAGGGGGTGCAGGTGGGTGCCGGCTGGCAAAGTGCCCGCCCAGGGAGGGGCCCAGCCCTCCTTCCGCTTCCCTCCTTCGCTCAGCTGCGCACAGTGGAAAAACCTGCCAGTCAGCACCGCCAGGCTTCCTGTCCCACCCAGCTGCCTTCTGAAGGGCCATGGGGCTCCGCCAAGGGGACAGGCTGCTGGGGGGCTGGGGGAGGGGACGGGCAGGATCTGCCTGCTCACCTGCCCCGCAAGGAGACGGGAGAGGGAGGTTTCCAGAGCCAGGCCCTGGGATTCCCGGGCCTCTGCCTGCTGCCCCTGGCCAGCCTCTTTAACCCCATTCCCAGCTAACCTGGCACCCGTCCTTTGCACAGTGGTTCCCACTGCTGGCCCTCTACCCAAGAGGGAGGGTCCTCCCTGACACTGCCCTTCTCCCCCGGGCGCAGGGCCCTCTCCCTCCTCCGGACTCTCGTAGCTCGTCACCGGGCATTGCATGGCAGCGTGGTCCCCAGGACGGAAACAGCTGAAGTTAGGGCTGGGGCTGTGCTCGTCCGTGTATCTGCCCTGGGCCGAGGCGCACAGTAGGTGCTTCGTCAGCACAGGCGGGTGAGCGGCAGTTGGGCCAACTCCACCCAGAACCCTGAGCCTCACGTGAGGCAGACGTGGCGGCCCGAGGGGAGGCTCTCCCAGCGCACACTGGACAGAGCAGGAAACTGAGGCCAGAGGGGGCAGCTCGAGGGGTGCTGGGGGGCAGTGCAGGAAGGGGCTTTGCAGTTAGGTGGGGCTGGGTCTGCATCGGGTCACCCCTACTGGTCTGGTGGGCAAGCGGTGTCAGCCCCAGGCCCTCAACACAGTGGGAGTCGCATGACCACGCCCTGCTCGTGGGGCGCCGAAGACTCTAGACCAGGGGTCCTCAAACTTTTTAAACAGGGGGCCAGTTCACTGTCCCTCAGACCATTGGAGAGTGCGCACTGTGGGCCCGCGACGAGTCGGTTGCTAAGCGGGACAGGCAGCGGCGGCAAACACGCCCGGCAAGCCGGATGAATGTCCTAGGCGGGCGGCACGTGGCCCTCGGGCCGTAGTTTGGGGACGCCTGCTCTAGACAGTGGGTGAGAATGCGCTGGGCAGAGGGCCTGGCACAGGGCTACCTGGGAGTGGGGTTAGAGGGCTGGATGGGAACACCAGGCCCCTGACCTGGTCCCCACCACCTCAGAGAGCTGTGGCATCACCCGCAGGGCGTGCCCCAGGGCAGGGACTTCTGCTGGTTTCGTTCTCCGTGCCTGGGACAGCAGCCTGCACGGCACAGGAGCTCAGCAAGCATCTGCGAGTGAACGAATGGGGGGACGGGCGAGAGGCCCTCCAGGCCAAGGTCTGGCTCCCACCTCTCATCTGCTGTGCAACCTGAGGGCCCCTTGGCTCCCAGTGGCAGCAACAGAGGGCCCACGACAGGAACAAGCAAAGCCCCCCATCCCAGGCTGAACCAGGCCAGAGAGAGAGAGGCGTATGGGGGTGCAAGAGTCGGGGGAGGAGGACACACTAGGGGTGGGGTGGGCACATCCTTAACGACTGGGAAAACCTGGGCCCAAATCGTAACTCCTCTTAAAGGCTGTGTGACTCAGGAAAGTTACTTAACCTCTCTGAGCCTCCGTGCAGCCAGGCTCCTTTGTCGACTCAGCGCACAGGGCTGTAAGGGCGACAATGAGAAAAGGCAGCCGAGGGGCCGGGCACCTGGCGTGTGCTCCACAAAGACAGCAGCTGGCAGCACGAACGGGCAGATCGGACGGGCTGTGGCATCCTCCCCTCGCGGATCCCGGAGGACTTCCCCCACCCCTGCATCCTTCCCAGGAAGCCTGGTTTCCATAGAAAC